TGAATGCCCTTGGAGTTGTAGCATTTATCTGGCTTGCTTATTCTTAAAAGCAAAACCTTTGACTATTTTAATACATCACCTCAGGAGTTTTCAGGTCTGTGTTTGCCACATGTAGAGCAGAAGCAGATTAATATCAGAACAGCCTGAGAGAGCTGAAGTATGAGTATTTTCTTGGCAATCACCTGAATGTATTTGAAGAAAATGTATTTGCAACCAATTCACAAGCAAAGGTGAAGCAATGTCTAGGTCAGCATCTCTTAATGACCCTCTCTCCCCTACAGAGATGTGACAAATGTTTAAATTTTTTAAAAGTGACTGTAATTGTGCAGGTGTCACTAGCAACTTGCCTGAAAACTTAGTTTCCTGACATTTTTCATTGATTTCCCTTATATTAGAAAATGAAATGTCAGACACTATTAATTGCAATTTTACAATAAGTAGTTACAGCAGGAATAATGACTAAATGAAAGTACTTCCTGTCTAGTGCACAATAGATATACTCATTTAAATGTATTCAATTTAGATGAATGCAGTATGTCTATATTCATTACAGTTATACCTATCTGTGGGCTGAATTGATGGGGTGGTAATTACTACCTTTATAAATGGGACAGTATTGTAGGTCTGGAAGAGGAAACTAATTTTCTCATCATATTTTATATACCTACACAGCAGGCACATTCTAAAATCCTCTTTCTTTCAAAGTACAGAAATTTTACCCTTGAATAGTGAATCAAATGATTGTAACTATGACCTGTCAAGTAGGTGTTGCTTTCCTGAAGATCTGCTTCTGTCTCATAAGAAGGGAGTAGTGCAAATTAAATTCTTAAAATTCCTCCATGACTAGGAACTCTGGCTTTCAGTACATCATGAGTTCAGTAGTTGACATGGAATGCCATGAATTAGGATCCTTTCTTATCCCAAGAACTTCTCATGTTTTCTGATATGTTTTCCTTTGTTGTTAGGTGCAGTTGAGTTGACTATGACTCATAGCAACACGATAAACAGCAGGTAAAACCTTGTCCTGTACTGTGCCATTCTCTTGATCTACACCATGCTTGAATCCTTTGTTACAGTCACTATGTCAAACGATCTCTTTGTGAGTCTTTCTTTCTCTCAGCCTTTACCTCTTCAAGTATGATTATTTTGGTAAGGACAGGCCCATCCTGACAACATGCCTGGGGTATGTGAGACGAAGGTTTTTGTTTTTTATAATTAAAAGTTTATTAATTTTAATGAACATTTACAAGATTTGGGGTTTCCATTCATTCATTGTTGCACTATTTTCTCTACCCTCCTCCCCAGTTTGTTCCTCTTTTTTTTCCCCTCTTGAAAGTCTGTTTTAATTGTCCCATTGCGCCCCACAGTGCTTGTCAAAGCCAGTTCTGATTAAACTCCTTTGTCAGTGTGTCCCTTGCCATTCCCTATCACTCCTCCCTGAGAGACTTCACCCTGATTCATAAGGAAAAGGGGATGGCGTATTCTCTTAGCTACTTCCTGCTGAAAAGGGACACTGTAGGTTTCAGGGTAAAGATCTTCTCTCACTACTCTAAAGGGCCCCTTTGGCAATAGGAAACACATAGACTATTATGGAGATTGATTTTGGAATTTAGATGCACTGTTATCAGTTGTGCTTAGCCGTACATGTTCATATCCTTGAAGATGTATCATGGAAGTGTTGCAGCCTAGAAAACACAAATTTAACTAACAAGTTAAAAGTACGAGTCAAAAATTAAAAGCAATAATATCCTCGCCTTAGTTACTTTCTCTTAACCAGATTTGGTTGTGGTTTTGATTTTGGTTTGTATTTTTGTTTTTTGTGGGGTTTTTTGTTTTTGGTTTTGGTTTTGTTTTTTTGGTATTTTTGTTTGTTTTGTTTTATTGCAGTCCATGGTTTTCTCTTAACATAATAACCAGACTAAGGGTAAGAAAAATTCTAAAGTGTTTATTATTCCAGTCACTTCATTTATCCACTCATTTATTTCCACATTAATAGGCTTTTGCTAGATGTAAACTGTAGGTTAAAGATTACTCCTTAACAGATTGAACAAGTTCCTTTACCGGAGGCAACTCTCCACATCATCTTAAGCATCCTCTTTTTCTTCCCAACATAAGCATGTTGCTTGGTTCAGTGGTAAGGACTGAGGTCTTCTCCATTAGAGGTCAATAGCCTTTACATCTTTTTGAGCTAAATATTAGGGAGTGACTTGAAGTGTCATGGGTTTACATGTGTTTTCTTGTTTCATTGACTGTTAACTCTATGAACCAAATCCATAACCTTTATAAATGTGTGCAATCAGTGCCTGTATCTGATTGATAAGCAATGAGGAAATTAGACCTACTTTTTTTGTCTTTATTTTTCTTGTGGCTTCAGGGCAGACAAGCATAATTAAGCAATAAAAAGATAGTTGCCGTTGTGATTATCTTAGGGTGCACCTGGGGCTGCCTAATTCCCTTTTGAAAGTGTTTTTCTGGGGGAAGAGCTGTGTATTAAGTTGTGCTGAAGAAGATGAGTTGGTAGTGTGGAATGCTGATGAACTGTGGTTTTAGTGAAAATGTATGTGTTCTTAAAAATAGTTTCCGTTCAAATGCTGCCAATTAGAAAGCTTTTTCCAAAACAGGCAGTTATATAAGCAAAGTTTAAATATTTAATTGTCACTTCTTGAACAGAGATCCAATCAACACCCTGGTATCTTGCCAGAAAGTCAGAAATTTGTGATTCTTTTTCAAATTAGAAATGATGCTGAGTTATCCTCAAAGCTTTCCACACTGAGATAAATCAGTACAGTTAATATCTTTCTTTCTAATTTGGGCATTTAGAATGAATAATTAATAAGAAGGGTGTATATGCCTTTTTAAACTCAAAAAGCAGAGGCTATGACACCTACCTGAGGATTCATAGAAAGGTTTAATTTTGGTCATGTGCTATACCAAGTTTACAAAACGTACTCCACAACAAAGTATAAGTAAAACAAATATTGTCATTTAGTGATAAAGAAAGTGTCAAGATCTATCATACTGGTAGTCAAGCTGTGTGTACCTGCCACTTTAAGTAAAAATAATAAAATAAATAGTAGAAGTTTGTTCTAAATTTGCAGCTCACTCTATCATCATTTCAATACTTTTTAATACTCTACAGTATAAATTAAAGGAGCCCTGGTGGTGCAGTGCTTAGACCATTTGGCTGTTAACCGTAAGTGTGGCAGTTCAAACCCACCAGCTGCCTCATGAGAGAAAGATGAGATCTACTTTTCTAAAGGTCCCCATTCTTGGAAACACTATGTAGGATTTCTGGAGCAGTTTTCTGCTCTGTGACAAAATGGGTATGAGTTAGCCTCTATTCAATGGCAGTATACTTTTGGAGTAATACATACAGGAAGTTGTGCTGCAATCCCAAAGGCACACAGTTTGAATCCCAGCTGCTCTGAAGGGAAAAAAGTTGGCAGTCTCCTCCTGTGTAATTTATTGCCTCTGCAATCCCACTGGAGGGTCAGCTATGGATCATTTCTGACCGAACAGTACACAACAAAAACAACGTGGTCAGATAAGCAATTTTGACTATGAAGGTAAATGTGCCTTTTTTTGTTACATTTCATTTAGCTGATGTGTTTTGTTTCTTTTAAGTAACAAACACCATACCAAATATTTTAAGATGCAAAGGCTATTCCTTTTTTACAAGAAGAGTAATGTACAACTTTGGGGAATTCAGTTACTGATAATATTAATGCTAATTGAGGTCATATTAATTAACCATGTTTTCTAAATTTCAGGAGGAATTCCTAAATAATCTAAGAAAAAAAGTGAGATTAAACTATCTGAATACCCTAATTATGTAAGCAAATTTGAATTTAGTATAAGCTGGACTTTTCAGTGAGATAAGAGCTGAAAGTAATGAGGATTCACCTTACTTGCTTAAAATTTCATCAGAAAAAGAAAATTGTTATGTTTACTCATGAGAAAATTATACCGTGAAATAATTGTCTAGTAGTTGTTCATTTCCATAAGATTTTCAGAGGCTATAAATTGTAAGGGGGGAGATTGTCCACCTTCCTCCTATGAGACAGCTTAGTAATTCATACCTTTAGCATCTGGGTTGGCTACACACGCATTTGTGCTGCTCTAGTGGTGTAAGCATATGTCGTGTGTGAGTATATGCTCTCAGGTGCACACACATATGCACAAGCATACACACACCTCACACTCACTCATAAACCTGGAGTATCTTTTGGCCATGTAATGAGTTATCTTGTTTTATCCTCATAAGAACCCCACAAGCTACTGAGATAACTGAAATCCTGAGACTTTAGAATGTTAGAGGATGGTGTTCAAGCTAATCAGTTTTCAAAGACTTTTTATTCTTCCCTCCTGTCATAAAAATAAAACGAAAGAGAGGAAATAGAGGAGACAGGAAAGGAGGAAAGGGAAATGGAAAGGAAAGGAGTGAGAAAGATAAAAGAAGGAGAAAGATCCTATGAATGAAGTTTCGTATCATCCAGTCCGTTTCAGAGATTCTGAAATACAGTAAGAGCCGAAGGTCTGAAACAGCAGCAACTGTACTCTTTGAAGGAGGGTTTTATTTGAGACCAATAGAATAGAATAGGTTAGGGAATATTAGAATTCTTAAAGCAATCTCTTATACATAACAGTGAAAGGTCAAATGTGGGTTTTCATGCAAAGACTATGAATTCAATCCTCAAAGCTCTAAGCTGATATTGCCTTCAAATAGCTGTAAAGAAGAGCAATTGGTTATTTCTCTTCCTTTTTGCATAAGTAGGGAACATGTTCACAAACCATGGACACAGAAAAACTATCTTTTCTTTTTCTAGTACCCATCTCTCAGCTTCAAGAGCTTTATAGATTTTAAAAATGTCAATTATTCTTCCTACTCTCTGTTAGAGTTAAGACACTGTGTCATCCAAAATCCAGAGAAAAGTTAACAGAGACAGCCTAGACTTAAATGAGTTCGGAATAAAGACTAAGTCATTGGGGCAGCCGTGAACATGGTGATTAATAGCTCTGTAGGGAAGCTGATTGGAGTTTGCTTTCAGGCTCAGTTTTTTCATTGTTACATGATTTTCTAAATGTGTATATGCATAGGCCTTGCCTTTAGGGGAAAGAAATAATAAATGTGTATATGTCTTGCCTTTAGGGGGAGAAAATACAGAACATTAAGGGGCTTAACAAGTGACGTGTTTGGCACACTTCTCTATATAATGAAGCTTAAAAGTGGCGTCCATGTGTGTAATGAACATCATAATAATAAAAATAATTCAGTAGTAAATTTGTACATAATTAAATGCTTTACTGTAATCAGACTGTCTGCCACCTTACTGATATACCAGTTACATGGGTGGATATAAAGCTTTTGGTCTGAAAAGAATTTTTTTTATTTCATCACACTCAAAATATTAATAATGAAAATAATTATTAAGAATTCTTGCTGAAGTGCAATGTAAAACACCCACTGACATTGCTTAATGATTTTTAAATCACCCCCCTTTAAACAAGTCTCACTGTCAATTTTTTAAGCATTTTTAACATTTTAATGATTTATTGAGTGGGGTTAACAAGAAGGATTTTGTGTAAGTAGTTAATTGGGGCCTTTTTTCCCCATGTTAAGTTTCCAGAGCCACCTTCTCTAGGCAAATTGAAAAATGTAACTGACAAACTATAATGGAATTATACTTTATGTATATATACTTCAAATATTTTTATATGTCTATTGACTGGTGTGATGTTTATGTATTTGCCTTTTTTAAATCTATTTGAATTGTGACAGTTTTATTTTCTTTTTGTTTTCTAACTCTATGTCTTTGCCATTTCTTTATAATAAAGGGTAGATTTGGAGTCTTTTCTGACATATTGTTTGGTTCTTTTTCTTTCTTTCTTTCTTTCCCTCCCACCTTTGTAATGACTTTTTATTTGAGCATAATGTCTTTGATGTTATCCTGTCACTCAAAGGGCCATCACAACAGACATAAACATTGCCTTCCTGTCCCATCCTATCTCAGCCACAAATCCATACTTAGTCACCGTGTCAATACTTTTCCTTAAGGGTCTTCCTTTAATTTGCTGACCCTTTACTTTTCTGAACATCATGTCCCTCTCAAGGGAATAATCTCTTTGATCTTTTCAGTAAAACACTAGTATCTTTCTAGTATTCTCTGCCTTCACAAAATATCCATTTGATAGCAGCTATGATATTCCTGGTTCCACAGTTCTTCTGAATTGTTTGACTTTCTGGAAATTCCCTTTCAATGTAAAGTCCCAATTTTTTTTAGAATAATAATCTTGAGCAAACTTTTACTTGTATATGAAAATAATGATATAGTTAAATAATTTCTTTATTCTATTAGATAATCCTTCTTTAGAATAAAATGAAATCTGAATCTTCCCTAGCTGGTTGACCAAGTAGCTGTTGTTCATATTTCTTGACATAAACATAGGAATAGCGTGCCCAGGGAGCTCTGGTGGCCTTGTGGCAAGAAGCTGCACTGTAATCCCAGAGGTACACCTTTCTAATCCCTCAGATATTCTGCTGGAGAGGGAAGGGCAATCTCCTCCTGTACCAGTCAGATCCAATTTGACAGTACACACACAAAATAATGCATTTTTTAAAAAAAAAATAGTATTCCCAGAGCTGCATCTATTTGCTGAGACATCTCAATTAATACTCTGTGAATTCCTGGGGTGTACTTTGCACTAAAACTTTAGGTGCAGCTTGAATGTCTTCATTCATTACCATTGGTTCTTGATTTTATGCTACTTCTTGAAATGGTTAAGTGTCTACCTTTTTTTTTTGGTACATTGACTGCATATTCCTTCCATCTTCTTTTGATGATTACTGTATCATTCAATATTTTGCCCATGGAATTTTCAGTATTTCAACGTGAAGTTTTAATTTGTTCTACAGTTCTTTCAGCTTGAGAATCCCCAACCATATTCTTCTCTGTTGGTTTCCTATGTCTTTTCAGCTTTGATTAGCATAGGTAGATTGAGGAGCCTCTTCTGACAGTTTGGTTTTTCCTTTTTTCATAATGACCTTTTATTTTCTTCATTCATGATGTCTTAGGTTTCATCCCTAACTCTTCTGGTCTTCAGTTATTATTACTGTTCAGTGCATTAAATCTTTCTCTTCTTTTTTTTTCAAGATCAAGATTTTTATTTAGAGGTGTCAGGGGAGGGCCAAAGGGGCAAGAAAAACAAGGCTCTGATCATGGTTCTATTGGTTCTTGTGGATTTACCTTGACCCCCTCCCCATCTTTAACTTGAACTTGTTGATGTTATGGGCTGTCGAGTCACCTGCAACTCATAGTGACCCTATGTACAACAGTGCTTTACCCTGCTCCATCCTGTGCCAATATTATCATCTCACACCTACCCCATTACCCCAGCCACTGAATCAATCCATCTCATCAAGGGCCTTCCTTTCTTGCACTGTTCCTCCACACTCCCAAGCATGACATCCCTCTCCGAGGACTTTTCCTTCCTTGCAACGTGTCCATAGTATAATCAGATGAAGCTTCAGAATCCTTGCTTCCAAGGAGCAGCTTGGTTTCACTCTCTGTAGGATGAACCTGTTTGTTCTCCTGGAAGCCTATTCAGCACCCTTTTCTAGAACCACAGCTCAAAGGCATCCATTCTCTTTCTGTCATCCCTAGTCAGTGTCCAGCTTTCTGTTAAATAGCAAGTGATTTCAAAGACCATGGCCTGAATCAGGTGCACCTTAGGCTCCAGACTTACATTGTTGCTCTTCAGTACTTTGGTGATGTCTCTGAGAACAGACTTTCTCAATTCAATTTGTCTTTTAATTTCCTTACTGCTTGTACCAAGAGAGTTGAATTTGAAGCTAAGCATCTGAAGCTGCTAACTCAGAGATGACCTTCCAATGGGTTTTCCGAGACAATTGCATAGAAAGAGGTTTGTCTTTCATGAAGCAACTGGTGGGATTGCAATGCAGCTTCTTATGCACGATTTCCTCCCACACTATTAACTGCCTCTGATAATCTGCTAGAGTTGGTTCTAACTCAGTGGTACATAAAAACAACAGAAAATACACTCATTTCCGTGCAACTGGAACTGACTCATTGCTGACTGTCTGATGGATTATCAGAGTTTGTCAATCACCCAGCAGGGGATTGTCCATCTATCTCCTGTGGAAGCTGGAGGATTTGAACCATCAGTGATGTATTGCCGTTGGGTTATCAGTCTAACTCCTATGGACTACCAGAACTCCTCAAAGGAGCCCTAGGAGCATAGAGGTTTAAATGTGTTGCATTGCTAACTGAAAGGTCACCTGTTTAAAATCCTCATATGCTCTGTGGGAGAAAGATGGGATATAGCCTCTGAAACTTTGTACAAGGTCATGATTAATTGGAATTGACTGTATGGTAGTAGACTGCTTAGCTCCAGCTATAACCAAGACCTAGTTATGCTGGGTTTAAAGTTTTTGGTTACTAATTAAATGTGATTTTTTAACCCACTGGCTACTCTATAGGCCATGGATGTCCTTGCTTCTTATAAAGACTGATTCTCTAAAGATTAATAGCCTGTTGAGCCACAGGGGACAGTTCTACATTTCCTGTGGGATCATTATGAGCCAGAATCAACCAGAGAACAGTGGGTTCAGTTTGTTTGTTTGTTTGTTTGTTTATTCATTCATTCATTGGTTTATTTTTAAGGTATCTCCCAAAGTTATCTTGTGCTTGATTAAAAATTTAAACAATATAAAGCTCTGATAATGGTTTGGCATAGCAATCTTTATTTCACATGTTTCACCATCCTAACTGTATGCAAAACAACCAAAAAATAAAAACCCCAAATCATTCTTTTAGCTATCTATTTAGAACTGAGTAATTTGCTGGCTCTCCATTGGGTCTGACACTGTCAATCATATGAAAGGAGGTGCCCAGCTTTTTCCTCTGGAGCCACTGACAGATTCAAACCACAAGAAAGATATAGTTTTGGGTTAGCAGTGCAACTGCCTGCAAAGAACACTACCAGAGCTCCCTAGGTGTATGTCACTAAAGGATATTTCTTCTAAAATGTTATGCATAAAATTTACAAGAAGAAGTTACATTAGAATGTCACATCATATGAAATCAACATATAGTCCCATAGACAAAACCTACTTAGTTATTTACCATATTAAAACTTTAGCTAAAGGTAAGAAAATGCCAAATAAGGAAAAGGTTCGCTATCTGAACTGACTATGTGAGAAAAGTTTGGCAATATACTTCCATAAAAATTCACAGCCTTGAGGGGTCACTATAAGGTACAGTTGATGTTCTGCCCACGAAATGCCCCTCAAAGAAATCTAAAAACATGTCTGAAATTTCAAGAGCGTTTTTATATTATTTTCACTCGTGGAGACTTTTCTCCTTCCTCAAGAAGGTGGTGAAGGAAAAAAGCCTCGAGTTCCCCCTCCCACTTGCTTTTATAGCTTTTTCCTGAGTGCCCCTGTTAGGGCAGAGAGATTGGTAGGCCGGGGGATCAGTCATTTGGTCGGCTTTTGATGGGCTGGTTACTTGGCCCGCCTTTACTCTTTTTGTGTCACGTAGACACTAGTTAATTCCTTACTTTTCAAGGACAAACCAGGCTTTACCTGGGGCACTCGTGTTTGCCCTAAGCTAAGAATTTTTGTGGTCCGCTTCTGCCGGTAGTGCTAATGGGGGTTTATAAAAAATGGGGTTTCTGCTGTCCCTTCATTTGACTCAATAGCATTAGAGTGAGACTAGAGTCTTCTGAAGGTTAGTAAGGAAACTGATATTTAACAGTTTTTCCATAATAACTTCTTAAATGTGTAATTACAAATTGATGAATGGATGAATGGTGGAACAACTGGTTAGATAATGAGGTGACAAGCTACAGAGGCAAGCTTATGCCTGTTTTTGTCATTTCTTATCCCTCTTACTTGATACAAGTCATGAAGTGATTAGAAATAACTTGTCTCTTATGTTAAATGGTGGTTTGGGGCTTGATGCTACCTTCCTTTCTTTCTAGTCTCAGGCCTTACTCGTTAACCTGGCTCATGCAACTGGAATCACTCAACTTCCTCTCCATATATTGTCCAGTTTCATGATTGAAAGCGTTCTTGTCTTGTGCTAAGAAATATCATGGGCCTGAGAGGGTTATGTTTTCATCACTAACTTAATCCTCATTGCTTATGTAGTTCTAGCCGCAATTTTAAAATTGAGCCTGCATAGTACCAACTGTTGTAAATTGTGTCTGACTTTGAAGTTGGGAGGAAACTAAGAGATGATAAATAATGCATACTACAATGAAACAGATGAGAGAGAGCGCTGTTTAGGAGGAATATACTATAAGGTATTATTGTCATGGCAAGAGTCCAGAATGAAAGCTGCATAGTGGAGTGGACGGGTCAGGGGTGGGATTGTATAAAGATAAAACAATTTTCTTTTCAAAGAGTAAAGCGAACTGGCAGGTAGGAAATTGTGCATTATGAATGAATGGAAATCCAAGGTCTCTGTAAACTTTCATTAAAATAAAAAATTTTTTAAAATTAGCCAGAATTAACTTCACTATCAATTAGCAATTAGTCGATTATTCTTCAATTCTTCATAAGTCTTTCTGTCCCCTATATGATCTCTGGAATCAATTTCCTACTTTGTATGTATCCTTAGTGTCTGAGATTTCTGCATCATAGCTTTTTCGTTTCTGATCACCAGACACCCTTGGTTTATCCTTTTACTCCCAACTTTGGGGTACACATTTGACTATCAACTGTGTTTCCGTGTTTCAGTGATGGCTTTTACAATTCAGTTTTCTTAGCTGGAGATTCTATGGGAGGAGATTGCCTGTGATTCTCTGTTAAAGCCACTGGCAGATTTAACTTACAGGAGGAGGCAGAATTTGAGTTAGCAGCACAATTCCTTTTGGGCTACACCACCAAAGTTTCTTATTTATGAATTAAGAGAATTAAATAACTCAGATTGAGAAAGAAATCCCATATGATCAGAAGACCATTGTTTATACTCTTAAGAAGGAATATATTTCTGACACCAGATTTGAGTCTATAATTAATTTCTCAAAGAAGGCTTTAGAATAAAAGGTGTAGTCTTCAGATATAAGTCCAATAAGGTGGAGCTGTATTTCAAAGAGATAGTATGGGTTTGTATTTGAGTTAAGTGGATGAGTAAGCAGAGGGTACAATGGAAGGTTAACAGAATTACCGCTTGAAAATTGGTAAAAAGAGGAGATGTGTGCAAAACCAGATGAGAAGGGTGGGCATCACTGGAAAGTTAGGGTATTGTAGGGCTAAAATGTCATTTCCACAATACCACAGATTTCTAGGAAAAGCTATGCATCTAACCATACGCATATTCTAGAAAAATTAATTAGTAACATAAATTAATATGAACTCATAGATGTGCTTTTAGAGAGAATTATAACCAATATCTTTGCCTTTCTTTTTTTTTTTCATCTTTAAAGGACTTTGCCGAAAAGGAGAAGGCCACAGCAAAGGCCTTGGAAGATGTAAAGGCAAACTTTTACTGTGAATTATGTGACAAGCAGTACCACAAACACCAGGAGTTTGACAATCACATTAATTCTTATGATCATGCTCATAAGCAGGTAAGTCAAAGGAGGAAAAATCCTTCTCATACCTGGATTTATACTCTCAAGCTAGAACGGCATGAATTTTACTTTATTTATTGTCATCTAGGACTCTGAGGTAAGATTGTTTTATATCTTCTTTTTTCCTTCCTCTGAATGCTTGTGTTTTCTATTTAAATGCTGATGATAATACTTTTTTTCATCCTAGAGTTCTGTAAATCTTGTGGTAGATGTAGAGGTAAACAATAGTTGTTGATGTTGTTGTTCTGTGCTGTCACGTTGCCTGCAACTCATTGCGACCCTATGCTCAATAGTTCTGAACCCTGACCTATCCTTAGCCAAATTCACCATCTCTGACACACCTATCCTCATTACCCCAGTTATTGAGGAGACCAACTTATTTATTTTAGCATTTTCTACAAGGGGAAAGCAGTATTGAGAAAACAGTGTCAGAATCAGAGCGACTTAGCGACTTAGGGACAGAACTGGGTTTGAGAGCCATAAAAGCTAAGAGCCAATCTACAGAGTTCTTTCAACGATTCTGTTAAGTAGGAAATAGCAGAACTTTAGGAAAACAACTCTCAATAAAAGAATACCCTCTTCAGAAAGTAAAAATTGTTACTTACCAAACGGAAAATTGCAAGACAAATTCAGAATCAAGCAAAGGGGAAATTGCAAAAGGAACGTATCAGTTTTTAAAAATGTATTTATCCACCTTATTAGGGAAGATGATCTGAAACCAGCTGTTAGTGTTCTCTGCTTCCATCTATCTGTTGGAGAGGAGACAATCAGTCTTATGTTTTTTGGCTGAGAATTGAAGATATTGATAATTTAGTAATTTTAAATAGCATAAAATGAGAACAAAAATCATAGTATTCCTAACAATAATTCAGAGAAGGAATATGCTCTTGATACCAACTGGTCATGATATCTTAGAATCTGTAGATTGTCTTCTATAATTTAATTGTAAAATATTTATTCCGAGGGGATAAAATATGTATTTTCGTAACAACATTAATACTGTTTGTGCCAACAATAAATAGGAGGTTGTGGGATATGCAGGCATGCTGAAGACATAGATTTTTATAAAGAATGGCAAAACATGCATATAACTTACACTATTTCTTTAAATATATATAGATTGGTGGGATAAAAATATTTCAGGACAATTATATCCAAACTTCAGTGTGAAAAATAATCATCTAGCAATTAATAATGCATCTTACTGGACTTTTCTTTTAAATATTCTAATGAGATATATCTAATAAATCTATATTTTATTATTGTTATTCTGGTTTCATTTGAGTAAAAGTTTACAAAGCTACGTGGTTACCACTTAACCCCTCATAAACATTTGGCTTTGTGACATTAGTGACACAATAGAATAATAAACATTTTCCCCATTTCTTCTCTCTGATTTTCAATTCTCACATATAAATCCTTGTATACTATTCCTTCCCACTATTTCCCTCAGCAAATATTGCCCTTTTGATCTTATGTGGTTGATTATTCTAAGTCTTGAGTATCTCTCTGGTGGGGCAGTTCTTCATACAGATCTACTTACTGTTTGTCTGCAGGTTGGGCCATGGAGATGATTTTTGTACTCAGGTTCAAAGATTGACTAAGGGATATAGTTTTGGAATTTTCACTAGTCTCTGTTGGACCAGTAAGCATGATCCTGTATTTTAAAACAATATAAAATTGAAAGTTTTAAACACATGTAAAAAACTAATATATGGTCACGAAACTTCAACAGTTTGATTAAACTTTCATCTTTTTCACCACTTCTCCTAACCCCAACTTCCACCACCTCAACATATTATTTTGTCAAAAATAGTTTCAAAATATATGAGGTTGTTTAAACTCAGAGACACCATAGCATTGTTGTACTTAAGTATTAACAGTAATTGCCTGTGTAGCGTTCAATGATCTTGTTTCCCTGATTACTCCATAAATGATTTCTAAATTTGAGATTATTTAAGTCAGAATCTAAAAATATTCACATTTCTTGTTATGATGTCTTTTAAGCTTTGGGATACATTTTAAATTTCTCTTCTTGTAGATTCAAGTACAACAGAGATAGTTCAGATCTACTATTTATAGGGTCACTATGAGTTGTAATCAACTCAATGACATCTAATAACAGAAACAATTTTAATTTTTATTATTAAAATTTCCTCTATACTTGTTGTTACATCTAACAAGTTGATCTAAAAGATGAAATTTAATTACTTCTCCTAGTTAGAACATATTCTAGAGGTTATTGTATCCATTAGGGGAGATATGATGCATAGTTGTTTCTTTCCTTGTGGTTTTAAGTCTGATCAGTAGGTTCCAATATCTATCTGATCCATTGATCTTCCCAGATATTTTTTCTCCACTATTTGTTGGCGGCCTATTGTTAAGTAGCTACACTGCCATACCATAGACATGCAGTTAGAATACATTAGCTGCCCAGTGGGGGAAAGATGACAGTCCCTCCCTTATGATTTACTGCCTCTGAAAACCTATTGGAGGGTCAGTTATCAATGAGTTCTGACTCCATGGTATACAACAGCTACAATGGCATTAGAGTCATTGATGATCACTTACTTGTCACTTTGAATTGCAAAATGGTGATCTATTTTTTTTCTTTTTTTCACCACCCCACCCATCAAATTAGACTATCTTTTGTTATGATTCCTTGAACTCTCTTACCATTTCTCAAATTGAAAGAATTTAAAAACAAACTCAAGCCTATAGTTGCAATACGGAAAGATGCCATGGGCAAAATCTTGAATGAGTCAGGAGGTATTAAAAGAAGATAGAAGAAATACTCAGTCACTGTACCAAAAAGAACTGGTTGACACTGAAAAATTTGAGCAAGTGCCATATGGACAAGATGGTAACAAAGGGAAAAGTTTAAGCTGCACTGAAGACATTTGCAAAAATGAAGCCCTCTGGAATGGATACTGAATGACATTTTTTTTTGTGAGAAAAATTTATTACATTTAGAATTTAGCCCACTGGACTCAGTTTAGATGATCCCAATTTTGTTGGCAACATCCAAAGCATTATAATCAGGAGCAAGTTGAACATAGGCCTTCTTCTCTCCATCAGGCCTAATTAAAGTGTTGACCTTAGCTATATCAATGTCATAGAGCTTCTTTACAGCTTGTTTAATTTGGTGCCTATTGGCCTTGACATCCACAATGAACACAAGTGTGTTGTTATCTTCTATCTTCTTTATAGCTGACTCAGTGGTCAGGGGAAATTTGATGATGGCATAGTGGTCAAGCAAGCAGATAACAGATGAAAGCCTAGATGTGCTCACCAGTCTATGCCAGGAAATTTAGAGTTCAGCTGACTGGCTGACTAACTTAAAGGGATCCATATTTGTTATCATTCTCAATAAAGGTGTTAAAACAGATTATTAAAATTTTCAAACAATATAATTAATATTATATGTAAGCAAAAAATGGCTAAAGATCATTCAAAAACAACTAGAACAGTACATTAAGAAAGAACTGCCAGAAGGTCACATTGGAATTAGAAGCAGCTGAGACGCCTGAGTTATTTTTTTGTTGATGTCAGATAGATCCTGGCTGAAAGCAGCCACTATCAGAAGAAAGTCTATTTGTGTTTATTGACTATGCAAAGACATTTGACTGTGAGGATCACAACAAATTATGGCTAATATTGGGAAGAAAATGGGAATCCCAGAACAATAATTGTGCTCACATAAAATCTATACCTAGACCAAAAAACTGTTGTCTGAACGGAACACTGTGTGGTTTAAAATTGGGAAAGGTGTGCATCCGTGGTATGTCTTTTTCCCATGCCTATTCAAACTGTGTGCTGACCAAATAATTGGTGAATTGGGACTTAATGAAAAAGAATGTGGCATCAGCATTGGTGGAAGACTTATCCCCAATTTGTATTATGCAGATGATACAACCTTATTTGCTGAAAAGTGAGTATGACCTGTAGAACTTGTCGCAGAAAATAAAAGATTACAGCCTTCCATATGGATTGCATCTTAATATCAAGAAGACAAGGGCCAGTAGACCACATCATGAGCGATGAGAAAGGATTGAAACTATTAATGATTTAATTTTTACTGGATCCACATTTTTCTTCATAAAGTCCCAATTCACCAATTATTTGGAATTTACAGAGGCAAGCAAGTATATGGGGCTATCGGAACTCTTATTCACTGTTAATTGGATTATAAAATGATATAGCCACTGTGATAAATAGTATGGAGGTTCCCCAACTAGAAATAGTACTACCTTATGATTCACTGTTCCCCCTTCTAGGTATACAACTTAGATGGCTAAAAGTCATTCAAACTCATATCCATACCTCTGTTCATTACAGCACTGTTACAATAGTAAAAAAGGTGGAACCAAGATTAGTCCATCATCAGATGAGTAGGTACGCAAATGTAGTATATATGCACCCAGATTATTATGGAATAGTCTGAATCATAAAGAATAATGATGAGTTTTTGAAGCATATGTTAACACAAATTAGTCTGGTGGATATTATCCTGAGTAAAACAGTACCAGAAGCTAGTAAATCAAGAGACAAAATACATTGGAAAAGTTGGCTGTCAGGGACCTTTCTAGAGTACTGAAGAGCAATGATGTCAGTCTGGAGAATAAGGTGCACCTTATCCAGGACATAGTCTTCACAATTGTTTGCTATATGTCAGAGAGTCAGACAATGACTAGGGATGATCGAAAGAGAATTGATGCCTTTGAGCTGTGGTGCTGGAGAGGAGTGTTGAATATAGCTTGGACTGCTAGAAGAACAAACAGGTTCATTCTGGAGAGGGTGAAGCCGGCCTGCTCTTTGGAGGCAAGGATTCTGAGGCTTCGTCTGACATAATTTGGACATATTGCAAGGAGGGACCAGTCCCTTGGAGAGAGACGTCATTTTTGGGAGAGTGAAGGGACAGTGCAGGAGAGGAAGACCCTCAATGAGAGAGGCTGATTCAGTCATTGGGGCAACGGGCATAGATGTGTCAGAGTCAA